AGGTTTGGGTCCGGTAAAGAGTCCAGGTTTGGGTCCAGTAAAGAGTCCGGGTTTGATTCCGAGCATATCTCAATTCTTAAGCTGATTCCGGGCAGGGGATGGGACCCAGACTGCCCTACAGCCACAGGCCTTGTGACCCCACATCCTCAGCTTCAACTTCAAGTATATCTCAATTCTTAAGCTGACGTCATAAAAGGTTCGTCTATTTGTAACGTAAGGTAAGGCCTTCCTTCTCCAATCACCACAAACAAACATACAAAGACAAAGACGAAACATGAAATTATATTTGACAAAATTATCCATGTATTCGTATAAATAGACAATAAGGATATTCTGATCACTACAAGTCTTAAACTTATAACCATCGATCGATTTAGATATTTATTTTGGTAGAGCATGAATGCAGGCATTAGTTTTTTTTCTCCCAGTAGATAAGGTGGTGGTACCCATAACATGACTTGCATCCAACTTTCTCTTGTAATGTCATTTCATTTCATGATGGGTTCATATGTCTGTCTATAGGGCGAAAAATACAAGAGTTGCATGGCTACTAGCTACTACCAAGCGCTAGCTCACCACTAGCAGCATAATATCTATGAAATATGCTCACTCATAAACCAACTTATTTATTTTCTAATCTGTATATATATAATAGAAGATATTCTTTTACTCCAAGATTTAATCCAACTGGATGAATTAATAATCAAGTACGAGTAAATCATTTTTGAATGGTTAAAATGGTCTACTTATTTGGTGGTTTAGGGCATCTAATCAAGTTGATTATTGAAGTAATATATCTCCTAAACCGGATCTAAAATATCTAAAGTTCTGTTTGGAAAGAGAAAAAAAAAACTTCGATCATTTGTCTAAAATAAACCAGGTATGGCCATACATATGGTGATGCTAATTGCTACGCCACCAAATGTTTCTCCCATTTGAAAACTCTGTGATATGTATAAATTTGGCTAAGCACAGGAGTATAAGCATGATTGTAATGTTATGCTGTAGGAAAGATTTTAATTGGATAATAATATGAAAGCATGCGTTCAAAAAGAATTTAGTATGTGTTTTGTTTTATGGACGTTTCGTGATAAGAATTTATTAAAATGCTATCATATTATTATTAAATCAGCATTTTTTCATCATGTTCATACATCAATCATTAGGGTCTAACATTTAACAATTCAACCAGAAATACCTTGACCTAACCCGAACCCGACCCATCCAACCAAATTGCCAGGTGTATGTAGAACCATAAGTTGTCATGGCATGGTTAAACGACCTCAACCTTGCCACTCTCTGTTCCATGGCCACCAAGCCGTAGTACGTAATAATAATTAAAAAAAAAAGTTATTATATTCATGTCTCTACTTGCTGGTTGGGATCAGCTATAAAGTTGGAAAAGAAGATTCTCGTTGTTTAATGGCGGTGGTTATGGGCATTGGCATGCTTTTGTGATAGTGCTAATTAATTTTCTTTTTGCTTGATTGGGAAGTTAATTAAGATGTCTTTTTAATTAAGCCATTACTATGATGCCACCTCTTACTGCATGTCCATTATAACAATGGTTCATCGATGGTGGACCCACACTCAGCATGCTCCTATTTGTTCTTCCACAAAAGCTAAAAGCTGCAAGAGGGTTTAAATAATTAATTAATTAGGAGAGTTACCCAAGCCCAAAAGGAATAATCGACATGCATATTTGAAGTTTGTGCCCGATGCGATGATAAATGATTGTTTGATCCAATTTCTTGACCAAAAGTAACAAATAATTGAACCAGGGAATGGGAAACCGCCCCGCCCCCTTTTTGGTTTTTGCCATATACGTACTTTGTATATATCCGCTTTTTCTAATTTGAGTTGAGAATGATTAAAGCCAATAGGGGCTTATTGGTACATCTTGTACTGGAGTAGTTCATGGTTTATATTTCTAGAACCAACCAGCTGATCAGGGTGACCTCTATCACCACTCAGAGCCTTTTTCATGTTTCAGTTGAGGTTGACCTTGTACCAAAGTAACATGATTACTCTTCTTTTCTAATTAAAAGAAAAAGTAATTAACTATATGATGATTCGAAGAATCTTGTGATCAATCCCGACCGTTCATCAAATTCTATATCCACATATAGAGATCGTTACTTTGTGGCTGGTGGTATTCATTAAAAAGTTTCTTTCATTTTAGTTTTAACTTTTAAATGAGGAGATTCATTCCATGCATGAATATTGAATAGACAGTTTTGGACCTCTAACCAAGTTGATACGTGGAAGGCTTCTTAGATTCTTTTAGTCATGCTTTCTTCCTGATAGAAGTAGAACCGGCCAGCAGAAGAACCCGTCACGAGCTGCGTCAAAACGTACTGCCATGTCAATCATGACACATGCTTTTATGAGCCTCCCTTTCCCTTGTTCTTGTTCTGGGGGAAGTTTTATCTGGAGCGCTTGCTACTGCGTGGAATTTGGGTCGTCTATGATTCTCTCCCAAGTCCCATCTCAATTCTCAAAAGATAGAGAGATCTAGAGAGAGAGAGTTGGTAATGAATATTGTTAGCCTAGCTACGTTTTATCAACCTTCAACCCGATCAAACGACGTGGACAGTAGCTAGTGAGGAGTGATGGGAGATCTAACAGTAGTACAGTAGTCGATTCAAATCGTTGAGCTCTCGCCCGTCAAACAACCAAGGAAACTCCCCCAGATGCTTTCTAATTTTACTACGTGTACGTGAAACTGGTAGATATATGCAAATTCCTCCTTGAATTGCATTCCCTTTTATGAAAAGTAGAGTAGCCACTTGCCACTTGATTGTCTTCCACGTGTCACTCACTCCGAAATTCCGTCTCCTGATCATCCAGGAATCTTAGTGTAGTCATCAATCATCTAACGGGTCCCACACATGCCCGTGTGCGATTGATTATGACTCGTTTATCACGCCTATTGTTAAATCTTGTCTTCATATCATCGCAGACTAAGACTTTGTATGGGAATGGCCGAATGGGGATTGGACTTACATATATAATATAGATTCCAATAACAACACCTTCCGATGACGAAATCGTTTTCTCCAAGTTAAGCTCCGATAGGGAGATTACACCAAATTCATTTGTTTGGATTCGATTGTTCATTGATTTTTATACGTCTTATGAGCTAATCTGTCAACCAGCGCTACGTGGGTAACAACAACTACAACATCGAACAAAGAAAAAAATATATAAAGCTTCGTCCTGCTCCTGCCCATTCAATTCCATCCAAGAAAGAAAGTAACACATTTAAAGCGTAGACAGCATTCGTCCCAATCTATATTCCAGACCCAACTACAACCAGCCCTATATGACAAATGGCACAGTATCTACCATGGCCCATGGGACCATCCATCCGAGTGACGATAATGGGTCCGACTCTTTTCTTTTCCATTTTTTTTGTCCAGAAGCCCAAAATTGACCTGAATGTATTGACCCTGCTGGGCTCACCATCCACAGCTTCTCTTGAAAAACCAACGTGGTACAATGGATGGCCAGGATCACATTTGACTAATTGTTGATTCAATTCTTCTATTTCAGGCCGGGTCATCATCTAATTTATATGTGCTAGTGCCAGTGGTCAGTGGTCAGTGGTGGCACACATCCTGGCTTCCACTCCCACCTACTGATTGATTTTGGTTGTTTGTTCTCTCTCTCTCTGCAATCCTCTCTTTCGTAGCTTAGGCTACTTTTTTGAGTAGTCGTTTTAATACAAATAGGTCGGTTTAGGAGGGGAATCACGTGACAGAGAGCTAGCTCTCAGGTCTCACCAATTAAATGAGGTATATGTTAGGCGCCTCCTTCCAATTGTTGCTTGTCTGTTTGTATACAAGTTTAGGACCCAAGTTTGAATATGTGCCCCCCCCGCCCGGTCCAAATTACAGAAAAGGTAATTAAGCCACTAGTGGGATTTTTAGTCCAGTACGGACCCTTTTTAGTCCTTCTCCAAAACAACATAGTTCAATCTCTCACACAAACCAAAGTGTTTCGAATATTTTAGGGTCCGTTTGAGTTGCATTTGGAATGGGGAGGGAAATCTTTTGATATCAAAATTAGAATGGTCTATTCTTCTCACAGGTTTGATAGAGGATGGAATTAGAATTAATTGAAATGAATTCTCATTTCCAAAGAAAAAAAAAAAAGAGAGAATAGTCATTTCATGCCATCCATCAAGAATACTGCAATTGGAAACAAAATCAAGAAGATCTGTGCGTTTGGAGACTCACAAAAAAGAGATAATACCCGACTACCAAAACAATGGCTGACACCCCGAGTCCCTGACCCCGATGGATCGCGCGCTTCTCGATCATGCGCAACAAGTCTACGTCTAGCTCGGTTTTCTCTCTATCTGATTCACATCTGCGCCCTACAGCACATCCATCCCAATCCCAATCGTGAATTGAGAACATCTCCCGTACTTTGCCATTGGGAGGGTTGGTTGGGATATGCTGTGGGGCACTAGTGGAGCGCCTTAAGTGGGGCGCAAAATGTAAAAACTCTTCTCTGTAACGTTCTCCATGTTTACCGAAAAGGTCCAAATTGATGTCTCATTAATTTAATTGGTGGTAGCAGCTAATCAATTAGCAATAACTTATATCCTGTTTATAAAACAAATCCATTTTTAATGTTATTAGCATTCCCATGCAAATATACAAATGGAGTGTGGCGGTTCGCGTTTGTAAACTTGTACAAACTAGTGGGAAGCAGCCTTGTTATTTTTAATAACAATATTTATTTTCCAAGTTTTACCCCCGGTTGTAGGCTTGTAGCTCTGAGAGAAACCTTTTCTAATAGGGTATGTCGGTCATTATAGCAACCAGCCAGTGCCAGGTTCTCACAAAAAGGTGACATAAAAAATTAATCAATCTCCTAGAAGGAGACTCAGGAACTTTCGTTTTTATTTACCAAGACAAAATAGTAATTGTCAATTGTATAAATATGCACAGACACACAGACGCACAGGGCGACAGCGATAGACTATCGTTGGCAAATCGCAATTTTAGATTCGCTAGAATTCTAGTAGATATCTAGATATTTGATTTCTATAAATATGAATAGATTTCAGAACTCAGATTCACACCACACAAACTCACTCAAAATCCCTGCAGTCCAGCTGATTTACTGATTATATTTAAAAAAAAAAGCTCTTCATCTCTTACCAGTCTACTACTCGCCCAGCTTTCAAGCTCCAACTTTCTTTCTTCTTCTTTGGTCTTCCCCTGAGTTTGCAACTCAGGTAATTAAGGGTTCTTGTAATCAGTCCATCGCAATCGTACCCTGAATTGCTGTTCCATGGCTCCTTTTCTTGTTGTTCATCTTATTTTCCTTCTCTTTATTCAATCCCATCTCTGCTTTTCTTCGAAAGATACAGTCTTCCTACCGCTCAAAACCCAGGTAATCCCTTCTCTCTCCTTTCCAAAACCTGCTAACAAGCTCTCCTTCCACCACAACGTCAGCTTAACGGTCTCTCTCACGGTCGGGACACCTCCACAAAACGTTACCATGGTACTTGACACCGGAAGCGAGCTCTCCTGGCTTCACTGTAAAAAATCCCCAAATTTGCAGACCACATTCGACCCACTTCGCTCCTCTTCCTATTCTCCGATTCCCTGTACTACGCCCACCTGTATGACTCGAACCAGCAACTTCCCTATACCCGTCTCGTGCGACCCAAACAAACTCTGCCACGCCACACTCTCATATGCAGACATGTCTACCAGTGAAGGAAACCTCGCGTACGATACTTTCTACATCGGGAGTTCGCCTATACCAGGGACGATCTTTGGCTGCATGGATTCCAGTAGTAGCACCTCTGACGAAGATTCGAAGACTACAGGGTTAATGGGTATGAATCGAGGTTCTCTCTCATTCGTTTCTCAGATGAGTTTCCCGAAATTCTCCTACTGCATCTCGGATCGTGATTCCTCTGGCGTACTACTGCTTGGGGATGCGAGCTTCTCCTGGCTCAGCCCGTTAAACTACACTCCGCTGATCCAAATTTCCACTCCGTTACCCTACTTTGACCGAGTCGCTTACACGGTTCAGCTGGAAGGGATTAGGGTTTCAGAGAAGGTACTTCCGCTGCCCAAATCGGTGTTCGTGCCGGACCACACGGGAGCGGGTCAGACGATGGTCGACTCGGGGACCCAATTCACCTTCCTACTCGGTCCAGCTTACACGGCGTTGAAGAACGAGTTCTTGCAGCAGACTAAAGGGGTTTTGACGGTTTTGGAGGAGCCGGACTTCACCTTTCAAGGAGCGATGGATTTGTGTTACCGGGTTCCATTGACTCAGCAGAGTCTGCCACCATTGCCGACGGTGAGTCTAATGTTTCGTGGGGCCGAGATGACGGTATCGGGGGATCCCCTGTTGTATCGGGTACCAGGGGAGGTGAGAGGTAGTGATGCGGTCTACTGTTTCACTTTTGGGAACTCTGATCTGTTGGGGGTGGAGGCGTACGTTATTGGGCATCATCACCAACAGAACGTGTGGGTGGAATTCGATCTGCAAAGATCAAGGGTGGGTTTGGCCCCGGTTAGGTGTGATCTGGCGGGTCAAAAGTTAAGCATGCGTCTTTAGTATTTTGAGTTGAGTTATTGTGGTGTAGTTTTCGGGATCGTCCTACTGTAATGATCCCTACTCCCGACGAAAAGGAAGGAGTAAAGGAGTTTTCTGTTTAATAGGTCCATGCTGTCCAATCCATGGCCCACCTCTTTGGGGGTACCGGCTACTGTGCAAATATCAGAGGTGGCCCATCGATCGGACAGTATGGATTACTCTTGTAGTTTTTTTTTTTAAGTTGTAAACAATCATATTAACATTCTAATTAACTATTATTTATTGTTTTGGTGCTGACTTCATCAGTTCATCGTCCTGGCAAATGAGTCCAGATCTGCTTTTCACATGACGCTTTTCAGTTTTGACACCGACCTCAGAGCACGTATCAGCCGCATATCGGAAGCATCTCGTTCTCGTGTACATCCTAATTCCTGTCGAATTGTCTAGCACAACCTACCGGACTGTGTCATAAGTCATAACATACATACGTGATTCTTTTTATTTATTTATTTTTTCGCAATTTATATTCTATTGCCATTTTCTTTTCTTTTCTTTTCTTTTCTTTTCAAAATATGCATATATTTTACCTTAAAAAAAGGGGTATCATAGATGTAGAGAATTTAGAGTAGTACTTCATATTATTTTATAGAGTATAAATACAAATTTATATAAAATGGAAAACCTTATATTTTATATTATTTTATATATATTTATATTGTATATTTGTATTTATGATCGAGTAAATTAATCCAAGATGAGATGTAGAGGTAGAGGGATGGTTATTATTTATCAAGAGACAAAGGGTGCCCCGGCCAGCCGGACCACTAACTTTCTCCACCAAAGAGAAGGGCCGCCAATGGGTACCTGACCTGGGGTAGGGTTTGCCTTGTAAAGGGGAGTACCGTCCTTGGTGGGACACACACACAATTGAATAGAGAGGGACCCTTAGGAAAGATCTTCAAAAGAAATGACCTTTTAACTGGCTTTTCTGCCTTGGACAAGAGAGGAGAGGAGAGGAGGACTGGAGGGGACCAGCCAGCAGTAGTCATGGTCTATTTCCCAGGCCGTAGGCCCGTGAACCACCAACCACTTTTTTCCTTTCATTCACTGTGGAGATTGGAAGCTAAAGATGGAGCAAGAATTCCACAGCGAGACCAAGTAAAGTCATCTGATGGAGGGTGATTTGGCCCGACCTCGTAGCTCAGGTACACGTGGGCCTGACCTTGCTCAAACAGTGACTCAGCATGACAGCGCAGCGGACGTGAGCACAACTCGGAGGGAAAGTCCCGCTGAGTTCAGCACGGCAATTCGGCAGGTAAACTACTTGCCGAAAGCCGCCTTGCCCGCACCTCCTCCTCGGGGTTAAGACACTTCGGGGGGTCCCGAGTTCAGGGAATCCTGACCCCTTTTGAGACCCGAGCTCCTCCCAATGGACCTTGGGCCACTCCCAAGCAAGAACACACTGATTCTTCTCCGAACACCTCGAGGCACAAAGACCTCGGGTCAGCTAGCTCGGCATAACCGACTACAGGCAACCCGTCACTCAAAGGACAGCCCAGCTAAGGGTAATTCACAGGAGAACAGTTCGGTATGCCATAGGAGGGCTTCCTGCCCGACCGCCGTACCCGACAAACCTGTGGACAGCAGGCATGTCTCCCTCGCCGCGCCAGCCACCTTTAGAAAGGCGTCCCACACCTGACAGACACGTACCCTGCACGACGGCCCCGTGTGTGCCACCTCAGCCCTGCCTATAACGGCTGTGGCAGACTGACAATGGCGGTTATACTTGCCCTGTCAGGGGTCAAAGGGCCTAAAGCAACGAAATTCAGTTATAAGGGCTTATTCTCAAGGAACAAGGTATCTTCAATCACTCGCGCAACTTACACTCTTAGCCTT